CGTTCCTTCAGCCCAAGGATGAAGACATCAAAGGGTTTTGATTTAGGAACTGGACTTCTAAGACCCCCTAAGAGAGCATCCAGTCTAAAATGAAGGACAATTTACAAATTAAGAAACTGAGGCCCAGAATGCAGAAATATCTTGCCCTCGGCTACACAGGTAGTAAGTAACCTGAAGAGCCAGGAGATGAACCCTGATCCCCTGAAGCAAACTGCTAGAACATGGCTTTGTGCACCTCAAACAACAACCACAACCACCAAAACCCAAACAGCTTTTTATAGAGAGAAGACGCACCCAGTTACAGTCCCACCAGATGAGATCTCTTGCTGTATCTAGCTCAATGTCCATCGTTACCTATGTCAGGCAAGACTCTTCAGATTAAGTCACTATACCTTATCTTCTGAGTCTCCAAAATCCCATCCCGACATTTTCTACCTCTCATACTACTGGCTCCAGCAGGAATCTTAGGAATCTGAGTGTTCATCTTCCAGGTTGGACTGGAGAGCACTGAATCCTGACTTCATGAAGAAGGGAAATCTGCAGGGGATCATCCAGGAAGAACAGAGAGGACACTTGACTATCAATCAGCAAGAGGAGTTTCTTTCAAATAGACCCAGCCGTGGGAAGAGGCATTCACGCCTTCTTTTTTTCTAACCAGAGGCAAGGCCAATCCAGAAAGAGATGGAGAAGAAAAGCTTCATCTCGAATCTTCTCACTTCCTTCCCTTCTCCGTCCCCTGCTCTCCAAGGACTTCCTATCCCAGGCTCTGGCCTTCTCCTCACCAGGCTGTGTTGAGACTGTACTGGAGCTCAAGAAGTCTGAGAGACTCTGCCAATACCTCCCTGCCCACATGATCCTGAGCAGGCCATTCAGCAGCTTTTTGGGGCTACAGTTTCCTTAGCTGTCAAAAGAGGAAACAGGGGGAGGGCAGGCGCTTTTAAGCCTTTTTGGTATAGAGGACCCCTCAGGCAGTGACCAGGAAAGTTGATGGAGCCCTTCTCAGAATCATGCTTTTAAATGCACAAAAGAAAAGCCATTACAGACTTGCAAAGGAAACCGCTTACATGGAAAGAGTTATCAAAATATTTTTTAAAACAATTTCACGGAATTCAGTTTATGAACCACTACCCCAGATGACTGCTAAGGTCCCTTCCGCTCTGGAACTCTATGAAACCAGCACTAATAGAAACACTAAAAAGCAAGTAAATAGAACCTGACTTTTTTTCCAAGTCTCTAGAGGACTAAAAATGGGGAGAAAAGATGCCACACGAAGGGCATCTAGGTGGCATAGTGGATAGAGCACTGGGCCTGGAGTCAGGAAGACCTGGGTTCAAATTCAGCCTCAGGCATTTACTAGCTGTGTGACTTCGGGCATGTTACTTAACCTCTGTTTGCCTCAGTTTTCCCAACTGTAAAATGAGGATACCTACCTCATAGAGTTGTTGTGAGGATTAAATGAGCCATCTGTAAAGCTTAGCACAGTACCTGGAATACAGTAGGTGCTACATAAAGGCTTAATCCCTTCCCCTTTCCCTCCTTCACATCCCTGGGAAGTCAGTCAACAAGCATATATAAAACACTTACTATGTGTCAGGCAAAAACTTCCTTCCCTCGAGAAGTTTAGCTACTAATGGGGGATACAACATGAAAAATAAATGTGTGTGTATGAGATATATACAGTGTAATAGTGTAAACAAAGGGAAGGCAACCTTAGAGAGAAGGGGGGATAGACGGGTGCACGAGGAAGGGGGGAGGCTGGGAGAGGCTTCTCACAAAAGATGGGCTTTAAGCTGTGTCTTGAAGGAAGTCAGAGAAGCTAGAAGGTGGAAGTGAGCAGGGACAGCGTTCCAGGCATGGGGGACAGCCAGTGCAAAGGCATGGAACAGAGAAAATGGCCAGCTTTCCATTCTATGGGCAGATTTTCCATTTTCCTGATACTCAAAGAAATTCCAGTCTGTACAGAAAAAAAAAAACCTACTCCAAAGATCCTTGAAAACAACTTTATCTATCTCTTCCTATGATTGTGTTCATAAGTAACACTAGTCCTACAAACAGGAAAGAACTCCCACCCTCCTGACACCCACTCTTCCTGATACCCCAAAGCCCAGAAGCCACTACTGAAATGTTTCTCTGTAGGCACGACAGCACACAGGGAAACATGACTTTCCCATCAAAACAGCTCAAGACTTTTCAGGAGAAACTTCCCATTTTCTTAAGGATTCTAAATAAAAAGCAAATCCAATCAAAGTCAATTCCATTCAATTCAACAACTATTTAACAGGCACCTACTGTGTGTAAAAGAGCAGTGGATCAGACACTCTGAAAATCAGGAAACCATAAGTTCAAAGCCAACCTTAGACAGTTCTCAGCTGTGTGACCCTGGGCAAATCGCATAAGTTCTGTCTGCCTCAGTTTCCCTATCTACAAAGGAGATATTAACAGTACCTACCTCTCAGGGTTGCAGTTAGGATTAAGTGAGATAAAAACCTGTAAAGAGCTTAGCACAGTGCCAGGCAGATAGTAGGTGCTATATAAATGCTTATCTCCCCACCCTATACCACCATCAAAGGCAACGTGCTAGGATATAAAGTTTCCAGAGGTATTAAACTAACTTTTAATAAATTTCAATTGGAAATTAAACAACTTGATGTAATACAGGGTAAAGTTTTTTTTGCATGAAAATTTAACATCTAGCAGAACAGACCCTTTAAAATGTATAGCGTTTCCAGTAGGAAACAGAGCCATTAATGACAGCTAAAGCTTCCTGCCTTCTCACCCCTATTTCTATCCCTTTCCTTGGAAATAATGGAGTAATAACTTAGAACTGGTGCCTGAAAATAGATAACCTTGTCTAACCTCGTTTGAAGCACAGGAGTAAACAGTCAAAAGACCTGGATTCTCAATTTCACTGTCAATTGCCAAAGGACCCTGAGCAAGTCATTGTGATTCTAGGTTTACTCTCCTAAAAATGGGAATGCCAACTGCCCTGCCAAGACTCTATCTCTAAAAGCATTATTGCTATTTCTACTACTTACCAATAACTACCCTTAGGCCCAGCATGAATCTTCAGGTCAGTGACAGATTTCAACATGTCAATTTCATGTTATCAAATTCTGATAGCAAAACCACAAAACTGAGGTAAAGCAGACAGACTTAAATAGGCATTTAAACTAAAAAGGAAGCAGTCACATAGAGTACACAAAAGGGCACTGAGGATGAGCAGGAAACATGACTTGAGTACCTCTGTCCCTTATTCATAAAGAAATGTCTATTGTTTGAGACACTCAGTCTTGTCCTAAACAGAAAGCAAGCTGGAGTAGGGACCTATATGTATTTGAGAAAAAACATGAAAGGTATGAAAGTAAATAGTAGTACAAAGGCCTCCTTTTGCAATGCTTGGAGGTAATTACTAAAATGACTCTGATACATGCAAAGTACTGAGTTTTTCTCCCATAAAGGGAACTGAAGCAATGATTTTCCAACCCCAAAATATTACAAAAACATTATGTGCGTTTTGTAGAATTTTAGTTCGTATTTAATGCTTGTAATCTTCCATGAAGCTGCAGCATTACAAAGCGGGCAGAACAATAAATTTGGCAACACAGCACCTCAGTGCAAAGCCTTGCTCAGTTGCCTACTAGCTAGGTGACCTTGGGCAAATCTTTTCCCCTCTCTGGGCCTCATTTTCTCATCTGTAAAATGAGGTGGTTGGACTCCGGATGATCTTCCAGGTCCTTCCTGGCTGTAAAACCTACTCTCTTGTTTAATCTGGGGCATACAAGTGACCTTGGGATCTTCAGGTTGAATCACCTGTAACTTTCTGGACCAAAGCCTCTTACTAGCCACTAGTCCCCTATGAGCACTGTTTCCCCCATTAAAAGAGAAACTTCTCGAGGACAGGGGCTGTCACTACTTTTGCCTTTGTATCCCTAGTGCTCAGCCAATGCTCGGCACGTAAATAAGTGCTTAACAAATGATTTTTCATTCACTGAAGGCCATATGTCAGCAGAAAATGCACTCTTACAAGCCTCACCTATCTGGAAGACTTCATATACAGATACTTCAACAGACTGTACATCTGTCATCCAAGGACCAATCTAATTAATGTTTGTAGAGCCTCATCACTAAGAGTAAAGTCACCAAGTAATGAATGTTTTTGGCCACTGAAACTCATAAATACCATTTATTGAGACAGAGAAGAGTTACAATCTAGACCCTTTCCTCCTTGACATCCTTTAAATAATTTTGGTTTAAAAAAAAATTGAAGCTTATTTTATTTTCAAAACTGCCTTTCACTTGGGCTTCATAATTAATGTCCAAACTTCTGGCGTACAGTAGGAGTTTAAAATAGAACTACTGCAGAGACTCTGGATTAGCCTCTATATAAAGCAAGCGGCATGATAGGATAAGGAAAAACTATGATTCTGAGTCACCGTCTTTACAAACATTAACAAAGGTCTCTCTCTAGGTCAACCCTACCTATTTGTTTATCAAGATAAGCAGGACCAGACTGCCGCCATCACCAGGTTAAGGAGACTGAATAATTTAGATCAAACACCAGAAAAAAACAGAGAGCAGAACAGGTAGAAACCTCTTGGTCTAGGACTTTAGCAGTAACCTAGCCTTTTAAAGTTTTGACAGCCCAAGCACTAGGCAAAGTCATCACCTGAGAATAAGGGCTGGTTCAACGCCAGAGCAAGGCACACATCTCTCTTATTTTTTTATTTTTTTTCATTTTTTTTTTTTGAAGCTTTGAGTGTGAGTTGGGCTAAACAAGGCTGCAGAGAAAGATGATCTGAGGAGATCAGGGACTCCTGCAGAAGTGGAAAAACCACACCAGCAAAACCAGGGAGTCAGATGAAAGAAACACTTAAAGATTAACAAGACGAAGTTAACTCTTCCAAGGGGGAGGGGGGGAGGGGAGGCTGTGACTGAAGAAGCCAAAGTAGGGGGGAAGGAGGACGCCCGTCCCCCGGCGGGATTCCCCCAGGTCTCCTCACCATCTTCGCCCCTTCTTCTCAGATTGAGCTCCTCGAGCGTAGGGAAGGTTTGGTTTTTGCCTTTCCGGGTGTCCCAGCACACAGTAAGCGCTTAATAGATGCTACCTGACAGCCCGACTTCCTGACCCCTCACCCAGAGGTCACGGGTGCTGGGTCATGCCCTGCCCCCGGCTCCCCTCAGGAAGGGTGCTCCCGCCCCTTCCCTTCCCCTCCCCCCGAGCTTCCCAAAGTGGGTGTATGGACAACCCCTCCTCAGAGGCCGGAACCACCGTCCCAAGCCCCTCCCACAGGAAGCCGCCTCCCCCCTCCTCAAAAGCTGGCCGTCAGCCTCGGCCCGGCCCGGCCCGGGCTGCCCGACCCTCCCAGGGCCCGCCCGCCAGGCTGGGAGACTAGACCCCTACCTGCACCAGGCCAAGCAGCGGCGCCGAACTCCTCTTCTACTTCCGCCTTCGAGCGCTGGAACTCGGGCCGGGTCATGTGGCCATTGTTGGTCACCTGACCCGGAAGAGGCGAACCCGGCCCACACAAGCGTGGGCAGGCGAAGCCGAGAGCTCACGCGGGCGCCAGGAGTTGGGCGGGGCGGGGAGTGGAGGCCCCCGGGGTGGGGGCGGTGGGGAGGCGCGCACGCGCGCGACTGAGGGAGCGCAAGGATTGCGACGAGCTAGCTCCCTTCCCGCCTGGTGGCCTGAAATTCCTTTGTATTTATTTTGTATTAACTTTCTTGAATACGAGCTGCAATCCCCTTTAGAGTGTAAGCTCCATGAGGGCAGGGACTGTTTTTGGCTCTGTCCCCAGTGCCAGGTCACACAATAGGCGTTTTGTTCTTGGAGGAAATTCTAGAATAAGTGAATGAATGAAAAATCATTTATTAAGAGCCTGCAGTTTGCAAAACACTGTCCTTTGTGCTGGGGATACAAATTAAATTCAATAATCGTTTATTAAGTATCTACTCTGTATTGGGGCAGCTAGGATACAGTGCCTGGAGTCAAGAAGACCTGAGTTTAAATCCTACTTCAACTACCAGCTGTGTGACTGGCCCTCAACAAGTCACCCAACCCTTTTTGCCTCAGTTTCCTCATCTGTAAAATAAGCTGGAGAAGGAAATCACAAACCACCCCAGGAACTTTGCCAAGAAAATTCCCCAAAAAAGGGGTCGGGAAGAGTCAGGCACAACTAAAAACAACCAAACAACAATGTTCTAGGGACTGTGTTAAGTTCTGGGGATACAAAAACAGACACAAGTATAACCTATATCAGATTGTGCACCGTCTTGGGGAGGGTGGTGGGGAGGAAAGGGGAGGAAAATTTTTAAATTCAAAAGCATATGGAAGTGATTGTTGATAAATCAAAATAAATTAATAAAAGAGGAAAAAACAGAAAATAAAACAAAAACAGACACAAGATATATTTGTAAGACAGTCCCACTTCTGAAGGCACTCACATGCTAGTAGGAAAGATTGCACCTGTAGAAGGTTTCAGCTACAAGAACATTCTATTTATTTTTAATTATATTTTTAAAATTATATTTTAAAATGTTTTATTTTTTATTTAATTATTATTAATTTATTTATTTAATATTTTTAAAATTATATTTTTAAAAATTAACAAGCATTTATTTTCTATTTCTCCCACCTCAGTGGGGACAGGGGAATTGAGAAAAGAAAGAAGAGGGACTCGGTGGATAGAGCACCAGCCCTGGAGTCAGGAGGACCTGAGTTCAAATGTGACCTCAGACACTTGACACTTACTAGCTGTGTGATCCTGGACAAGTCACTTAACCCCATTGCCTAGACAAAAAAAAAGAAAGAAAGAAGGGAAAACAAACCACCCCCCCCCATAGCAGATAACACATGGTCAACCAAAACACATTTTCACATCAGCCACGTCCAAAAATGTACATCTCAGGTTGCACCTTGGTTGCATCCTTCTATCAGGGGGTCAGTAGCATTGGTAGGTAGCACGATTCCTTATCAGTTCTCTGGAGTACTGGTCAAGCATTTAATGCTTCTTGACTGTTCAATAAAACAATGCCTATGAGAGATGGTCAGAAATTAGACTAAGTAAGAAAAGGAAGACAAAGGGCAGAATTTTCCAGGTACCTGCTGTTGCCAGGCAGCATGACCAAGAGCAAGATGAAAGCCACTTTAGTAATGAGACCTAGCACTTATATAATTCCTGAAGGTTTACAAAATGTTTTATGCATATCTTTGTTATAACCCTGTAAGGCAGGTGCTATTATTATCTCCAATTTACAGATTAAGAAAGTGAAGGTTCAGGAGGTTATAGAACTTGCACAAGGTCTCACTGTTAGTAAGCATCTAAGGCAGGATTTGAACTCAGGTCTTTTTTAACTCCAAGTCCAGCATTCGATCCATCTCATTGACTTAAACCTGTCCATCCACCTAGCACGGATGTGCTGATCCATTTCCCAGCTGGCTCCTCTGGACGTCTCCCACACCCCTTTGTATTTAATTCATCACGCTCAGGAACCTCATCATCCTGTAAGAGCTCTTCAGCCTTGGTACTCATACTTTCAGTTCTGATTGGAGGGCGAAGCTAAGAATTCCTCCCAAAACCTCCAATTAAGGGGGACTAGGAAAGCCAAATCTTCTTTTCCTCCTGGGCAGCACCCCTTTGTAGTCCTCTCACAGTCCCCCCCCCACCTGTTGTCTTCCTGGGTTAGATTGTAATTTCCTGTAGTGCACAGACTATCTTTCTTTTTCCTATTTTTATCCCCAGAGCATAGTAGAGTGCCTGGCACACAATAAATGTTTATCAGTTGCTGTTCAACTGTATTCAACTCTTCATGACTCCTTTTGGGGTTTTCTTGGCAAAGATATTGGAATGGTTTGCTATTTCATTCTCTAATTCATTTTACAGATGAAAAAACTGAGGCAAACAGGTTTAAGTGACTGGCCCAGGGTCACATAACTAGTCAGTGTCAGAGGCCAGATTTGAACTCTGGTCTAAACAACTGGAAAAACATTAATTACTCATGAATAGGCCAAGCCAATATAACAAAAATGATGGTTCTACCTAAACTAATTTATTTATTCAGTGCCATGCCAATCAAACTATCAACAATTATTTTATAGAGCTAGAAAAAATAATAACAAAATTCATCTGGAAGAACAAAAGCTCAAGGATATCAAGGGGATCAATGAAAAAGAAGGTGGGCTAGCCATAGCAGATCTCAAACTGTATTATGAAGAGGTAATTATCAAAATAATCTGGTACTGGCTAAGAAATAGAGTGATAGGTCAGTGGAATAGATTAGGTACAAATTACATTATAGTAAATGACCATATAAATCTAGTACATGATAAACCCAAAGATCCAAGCTTTTGGAACAAAAAATTCTATTTGACAAAAAACTGCTAGAAAACTGGAAAATAGTATGGCAGAAACTAGGTATAGACCAACATCTTACACTATTTACCAAGATAAGGTCAAAATGGGTACATGATTTACACATAAAGGATGATACTATAAGCAAAATAAGAGAGCACAGAATAGTTTATCTGTCAGATTTATGGATAAGGGAAGATTTTAGGACCAAAGAAGATATAGAGAGCATTACAAAATATAAAATAAATAATTTTGATTATATAAAATTTTAAAGTTTTTGCACAAACAAAACCAATGCAACCAAAATTATAAGGAAAGCAGAGAATTGGGGAAATTTTTTTTTTGCAACAAGTATCTCTGATAAAGGCCTCATTTCTCAAATATAAATATTTGAGAATCAAATCTGAATCAAATTTATAAAAGTACAAGTTATTCCCCAGTTGATAAATGGGCAGTTTTCAGATGAAGAAATCAAAGCTATCTATAGTCACATGAAAAAATGCTCTAAATCACTATTGATTAGAAGAATGCAAATTAAAATAACTCCAAGGTACCACCTCACACCTATCAAAATGGCTAATATGACAAAAAGGAAAATGTTAGATGCTGGAGGGGTTGTGGGAAAACTGGGACACTAATGCACTGTTGGTGGAGTTATGAACTGATCCAACCATTCCGAAGAGCAATTTGGAACTACACACAAAGGGCTACAAAACTGTGCATACTCTTTGATCTAGCAATACCACTGCTAGGTCCATATCCCAAAGACATCCAAAAAAAGGGAAAAGGACCTATTTGTACAAAAATATTTATAGCAGCTATTTTTGTGGTGGCTAAAAAATGGAAGTCAAAGGGATGCCCATCAATTGGGGAATGGCTAAATAAGCTGTGGTATAAGATGGTAACGGAATATTATTGTACTATAAGAAATGACAAGCAGAATGATTTCATAAAAACCTGGAAAGACTTATATGAACTGATGCAAAATGAAGTGAACAGAACCAGGAGAACATTGTATATGGTGGCAGCAGTATTGTTTGATGAAGAACTCTGAATGCCTTGGCTATTCTCAGCAGTGCAATGATCCAAGACAGTCCCAAAGGACTCATGATGAAGCATACTATCCACCTCCAGAGAAAGAACTGATGTTGTTTGAATACAGACTGAAGCATACTGTTTTTCACTTTCTTTCATTTTTTTCTTGTATTTGAGTCTTCTTGTACAAAAAGACTAATATGGAAATGTTCTACATAATTACACATGTATAACCTATATCTGACTGCTTAAGGTTTCAGGGAGGGGGGAAGGGAAGGAGGGATGAAGGGATGGAATTTGGAACTCAAAACTTTAAATAAAAATGTTAAAATAAAAAAAAAACCCACAGATTTGAACTCTGAAAGATGAGTCTTCCTGACTCCTGGCCTGCTGCTCTATGCACTATGGCACCACCTAGCTGCCTCTTCCCCACCCCCCCCCCCCCAAAAAATGCGTTTCCCTCAATCTGAACAGTAAAATTGGTAACGTTAGCTTTCTTTACCCCTTCTGCTTTTAGTGTAGGGGGCTGGGAGGCAGCAAAACGATGATAGCCCCTGAAGCCAAATCCCAGTTCTACTACTGCCTACTTGTGTGATCTGGGGCAAGCCAAGTTCTCTGGGCCTCAGTTTCCTCATTTGTAAAAATAAGGTTTTTTGGCACGATGACCTGTAACTCCCCTTCGAGCTCTAGATAGATCTTCCCATAATCTCACA